AACTTCACGGGCGTCAGGGCTCACGGGCCTGGTAGGTGGATAATGGACGTGGGTAATGAACAGGTGCCGTCAGCAGAAGCCTGAACTCAGTGAGCAGTCGTGGAGCAGTGCAGGTGAGGTTCAGCATGGCGTCTGTAACACGAGAATCTCTAAAACGCCAGTATTACTGATTACAAAAAGAGGAGGCGGGACATTCTGCTGTCACACAGAAAGCGGCGTGTGTCGCTTCTTCGTGGTGTGCCCTGTAGGGACCGTTTTGAGCTTGTCCCAGGCCAGCATGGCACTCGCAGTGTAGCTCACTAAGGCTTCGTCTCCTGGAGAGCCAGGCTGGGGGACTTCTAGGGACCATGCTGTGGGGACCAGCAGCCACCTACGCAGAATCAGGACTCGGCCGTTCTGGTGTCATCAGGCCCTGCGAGTGCGTCATTGAGCCTGTGCAGCCCCGGCACGGTCACCGTGGCGTTAGGACAGGCTTTGAAATGCCGTGGCTAGGTGGCGAGAGACATCTGTCAGTTCCAAGTTGCGTCTCACATCTGAGAGGTTTTTCTATGGCAGTTTGGTGGCCACACCTCTCGAGGACCACTTTCTGCCCATGGGCATGTCGTCCCAGCGACATCCACGTGGTGGTGGCCTGAGCCATCAGCCACAGACCCCTTTTCAGCCACTGTTGGCGGGCACAGTTTTCGCATTCGCGGATGCCGGGCTTGCGTGTCTCACGGGAGCACTTGCGTCCCTGCTTATACCACTCCTAAACCGGGGTTTGGAAGGGATGTCTTGGTCACAGTGGAGATTGTGCAGGCTCGCCTGTCCAGGGGCTGTGTTTGGAAACTGTCGCATTACCCTAATTTTCTTATTCCCATCCAGATTATGTTTTATCCTAACTCCTTACCTGAATTACATTGTACTTAGTTCGAGGCAGGGTGTACACAGCCTGGCTCACTTTCTTGAGGACGCCATTATAATCTTAATTTATTACGTAATGGTTGTCAGATTGACTCCTGGTTGTACAGGTTTAAAGCTTTAGATTTATGATTTCATGTTAGTTTATCTTTGTTTATTACAAAATACGCTTCTATTTAATATAGAACTACGAGTGTTTTTAAGTAGACAGTGCCACTGGAGCTTTTTAATCACAGTTATAAACTTGACTGTCCTGTGTTGGTCCCAAGGCGGTCAGTGCGTGCCTCCCAGGTCTCCAGCAGTTGGTTGGGGTCTGTCGTGTCGGTAGGGGGCTCACATCACAGCCGGAGAGGGACCCGTGCTCGTGGGGAGAGGATGGGGACGGTTGCGCTGTGGTGAGCAGGCGGTTGGGTGGGCTGGAGCCGCGGGGCTTCACGACAGAAGTCGGACCAGGTCAGTGCAGCGTCACCGAGGGAAATGGTGACCTCGCTTTTCTTACTGGAGGTGTAAAAGACGTGTCTAGGATACTCCCCCCAGCGCCTTGATGCAGTGTTTTTCAGAAACATGAGAAGTGGTGTTTACCTTGGGAAGAAGGGCCGTGAGGTTGCTGTGTTTGGACGTGTCCTTCACTGCGGCTCACGTGAGCAGGTGCTTTGGAACCTCGTTCCTGCCTCCCTGGCAGCTTTTAAAGACCAGCCTCTGCCCATATTTGTGCTGACTTCTCTCTTTGTGGGCAGATAGCTGGCTGCTTTGTGCTTAAGACGCATTCACATGGTCACAGAGTGAGACCCTTTCCCATGGGCCACCCGTGGTCTGGGCCAGGTCTTGAGAGCTGGGGCCCACATGCTGTCGGGCATTTTGGTGAAGAGGTACACCATGTCCTTGGACTTCCGGCTGGTGGCCATTACCGAGCTCGTTGGTGTGACGTGGTCCTCTTCTTCCTCTGCAGGTTATCACCAACCTAGTGAAAATGCTGAAGTCCAGAGACACAAGGAGAAATTTTTGTCCTCCAAATCACTGGCTGTCGGAACAAGAAGATATTAAAGCAGATAAGGTGTTACTGAAAGATCTTTTTAACGTTCTTTCATTAAGCATATTTTTCAGCTTTTGTCTTGCTAGGGAAAAGAATAAATACTTTAAAAATGTTTAATTTATTATTTTTTCTGTAACTAAGTATTAACAGAGTCAAGGGTTAAGGAGGTAAACTTTAACATTTTAACTTCTAAATCACAGAATATATAGCAACATCGTTGACCAAAATATGCATTGTGAGTTCATTATTAACTTTAATTTGCTTTTTAACCACAAATTAATTAGAAGCCTGATGATTTTTTTTTTGCAGTTGAAAAATATTTTGCTTTTATTAGTATTACTCGTTTATATTCAGCACTTAAAAGAAGTGGCGTTTACCCTTGATTTTCTAAAGGAGCGAAGCTGACTTTTGTTTGTCAGAAAAAGGCACGACTGGCTGCCTTTCAGAATCTTGGGCTTGGGGGCAGAGTGGAGGCCCACAGAGGAGACGAGATTCCAGAAGCATCAGCACAGACAGGTGCTGGAGGGCGGTTTCAGAAGCACTGCCGTGTTCGCACGAGCTGTCTTATCTTCAAGCGTGTGGCTTCGCGCTCTGCTCGCCGACGCAGTGGAGACACTGTGGCGGGTCCTGTACAGGGGACACCTCCCTGCACAGCGTTTCCACCAAAAAGAAGCCGTCGCTGGCACAAGGTTGCTTCCAGGTCCGGAGGAAGCGCACACACGGGGGTCGTGGAGTGCGCTGTCGCTGGGAGCAGGGCAGCCCTGGGCCCTCATGGAGGGTCTCCTGCTGGGCCCACCGCCAGCCACGTCTGGTCTGCAAGTCATAATGGGACCGAAAGAAGAGAACGTCATCGTCCGTTTGTGTAGGAGGCAGAGGAGTGGCCTCGTTTTGACGCCATCGTGCACCCAGCCTGCGTGTCCTGGCCACACAGCTGGTGACGTGATGTCCTGCTCCACGTGGATGTGCTCCAGCCAGCAGCACGAAGGAGGGGCTTCTGAGCCAGCTCTGCGACACGGGGTTGGAGGCCCCGGGGGGTGGGGTCTGCCGCCAGGGTCACAGTCGCCGTGCTGCTGCTCCGCCCCAGAAGGTTCTTCTCCGGAAAAGCGTCAGCCGAAGCACAGTGCATCTGGTGGCGTGCTTGCTTCACCGTGCGGCACAGGTTCTCGACCGCATCGCTGCCCTCCTGTGACACGCAGTACGTGGACCTGCAGCGGCCAGACGCACCTGCCTGTGAGGAGAGAACACAGCACCCCGAAGTGTTCTGCCGAAACCCACGCCCGATGGGGTGAGCCGTCCAGATGGAGTTGCAGATGGCAGGAAGCGGAGGGCGAGGCGCGGGCAAGTACCAAGGTCCGAGCAGTGGAAGCGTCCCGGGCACCTGCCTCTGCTGCCTCACCCAGAGCGCGAGGCTGAAGGAAGGCTCGGGGGCTCACCCGAGAGCAAGGACTGGAGAGACAGCGCGCTGCACCAGCCGCGCCGGATGCTGCACGAGCCGCACTCACGTTTCAGAAAATGATGAGCAAATGGATGTTTGGCATTAGGAAGGGAGCGCCGTACGCTTTTCTTTGTAAAGCGGTCGTAGTGTGATGATTCCCCATGTGTAGATACCACACACCATCAGATGGAACACGCAGGGTTCCCGTGGGCCGTGTTCGAGAACATGGTCACACGGCAAAAGTGTAAGGGCCGCCAGCGTGGGAGAGGGCGGGGCAGGGGCAGAGAGGGGCCCAGCTAACTAGATGAACGGGGGACGCAGGTCATTTGACGTGCGGCACGGTGGAAGTGTCCCGGACACGCACTGAGCAAGGCTTGCCGGCCCCGCAGGTGACGCAGCTGTATGTGCCAGCCTCCAGACACGCGTGGCGGTTCCGGCGCATGGGCAGGATAGGCCCCCTGCAGTCCAGCCTGGACGGTGAGTCCCTAGGCCGTGTCACCCGCTCTGCCTTGGCTCTGTGAGCACGACTGTACGTTCTGTGACAGTCACCCTTCCCGTGTGACTTGGTGAACACACACCACGTGGAATGGCTTTGGCACTCCACTGAGGACACGCGCTCTCTCGTGGCCTGGCCCCAGTCCCGGCCCCTGCCCTGCTGGCTTGTTTTTGTTCTATAGCTTTGCTTGTCCTGCAGCCTTGCGAGTCCCCCAGGGCGAGCACATGTGACTAACACAGCTTTCACACGTGTCGTAGTGGGCGTGGAGTCCCCGCCGCTGTCCGTGTCTGAGGAGAGGCAGCTCGCCATCCTGACAGAGCTGCCCTTCGTGGTGCCCTTTGAGGAACGGGTAAAGGTACGCGGTTCGGTCTCCTGGACTGACTTCGGGTGTTCCATTTCTATCTCTTCAGGGTTAAAAAGTTAGCGCCAGTGCAGAAAATCTCAAAAGTTGCCGAATGCCCAGCTAATTCTGTAGTTTATATTTTTCTCGTTAGGTGGTAATAGTTGACAACGACTTATAAAAGTGTAATGCAGCCAAATATCTGTGCAAACTTGAATTTTTTTTTCTTAGTTGTAACTAGTTAAAAGGCCTGTGATGCTGTCGTTTTTTTTAATCTAGTAAGTTAGGCAGTATTTTTGAAAATACAGATTTTTTGAAAAGATGCTTCTGTACGTTATGATAAAGTCATTTATACTTTGTAAAACACAAGGAAAAGGAGATGGACAGGTATCTTCGTTTCTTGCCTGGTGGTTTTTGGCTATACAAAACTGCGTTTACACTTACTTGTTTCCAAATGTAATTTACAGTGTTTCTATTCACCAGCTTAGCAAATTTCTGTAGAGTACCAGGCTGTATTCCTAAGGAATGGCTTCAAAAGGGTTTTTTCAGGCTTGCCCACCCTTTTACAGTATAAACACAAGAATGAGTTCCCCTTAAAGCTCTTCCTGTTTCTTCATTCAAACACTTAGACACACAAATGTTCCTGGCATTCCGTGGTTCCTGAGCTCCCTCTACTGGAGCCTCAAGAAAATTACTTGACTCTCATGATGGAGATGTCCTCACTAATGTTAACGTGCAGCCTGACGAACCTGTTTCTTCTTCACCCCACCACCGGGGTTTTTAAGAAGGATTTACAGGAGTGAGTGCTGAAAGTATACTGTAGTATGAGATTTTTAAAAATTTGTTGTAAACGGGAAAAGGAGCAATGTTACAAATACACAAATAGTACACATTTATTGATAAGGCATAAAATCAGTATTTGATGCCTTGACCTTTAAAATTGGTTTCAGAATTTGTGAAGATAAAAAATTAAGATTTATTTAACAGTTTTCCTTTTGATTGCTTATGTTTATAACAAAAAGTTTTGTTTCAAATAACCTTACGACTTCTCCTGTTTGTTAGATCTTTCAGAGGTTGATTTATGCAGATAAGCAAGAAGTTCAAGGAGACGGTCCATTTCTGGATGGAATTAATGTCACAATAAGAAGAAATTATATTTATGAAGATGCTTATGACAAACTTTCTCCAGAAAATGGTATTTGTCATTCTCTATGTGTATGGCAGGGGGAGGATGGGGAGGTATTTTAGAAAAGGTAATCATTAAAAAAATTAGTGTCCATCATTTTGTCTTGTAATGACGTTTTAATACTGAAATACATTAGGTCAGATTTGAAGGTGTATATTATTAAATGTTATTCTTAAGATTGACGAATAATTACTGCAGCACAAGACTATCAAATTTGATTTTTTTTAAGGCAAGAAACCTTACCCCTCCCCTGCACCCCCAAATTTCTGTCTCTAAAATTGAGTGGACAACCTATAATTCAAAAAATTTGGATGGGCAGCCATTTATATTCTATATTTTGGATATAACTATTTATGTAAATATTGCAGATTGTGAGCCAAATTAAATATACCAAAATAAACACTATTGCAATCTAAATTTCTTTGTAAAAAGATAGGGAATTACATTGTAACAATAACTTGAACAGCATTTAGAAGTCAGTGACACATTTTGTTTTGTTAATATTTGACACCCAGTGTTAAAAGTTTTAGAGTTGCTCATTTGCACATTAATAATTTTAACTTCAGAATGTGGAATCCATGACGTTGGCAATAAATCGATGTCAAATCGATACAGGAGATTGAAGACGAGAGCGCGGCAGCGTCTGGGTCTCGTGTGGGAGATGACGGGAGGGCGTCCCGTGGGAAATAACAGCTGCCTTTTCTTCTGGGAAAGCAAAACCTCTTGTTTCAAATAATTTTTTTTTCACTTAAAGAGCTACTCTTGTCAGTCTGGGGGGCAGCAAGGAGGGCTAACTGGCCCCCTCATTGTAGTCCAGGTTTTGAGCGCGAGGTTCTCATTTTTCACACAATCTAGCTTTGTCCTTTACTCTGCATCACACCCCTCTGAAGCCAGATGCCACGGACCACGGGCTGCGGACCCTCCAGCACGCCAGCTCACTCCTTCCTGCGCAGTATGACCGTATTCAGAGTGTCATGTGTGAGCGAGACGAAAGTCAGCTGTTGTGACTCCCGGTCCAACATAGTTTTGAAAAATAAAAAAAAAAACAAGTTTTCCCTCCTTTGGGATCCACAGCCCCTCATAAGCCAGTCGCAGTCACCGGCGCGTTTTGTGCTGTGTTAGCCCCTTCCTGGAGTGCTTTCTGAAGGTCACCCCAAGGGACAGGTGACCCTTGGGGTGTGGGCGACTGCACACCAGGTCTGAGAGACGGCAGCAGCTTGTTAAGGCTGTGAGCAGGGTGCAGCTGCAGACCCGGCCCGGGTGCCCCAGCTCGCCCAGCACACCCCTCCGCCGCCCCTCCCCCTTGCTTGCCAAGCACCTACGGGGCGGTGCCGGGAAGCGCTCAAGGACGCCTCCCTGGCCTCCGGACCGGCCCTGCCTGAGCCCGGGCAGCAACGCGCCTGGTTTCAGCGTTGGCAGCATCACTCTCGCTGGCCTGTGCTAGGCGCCTGCGCCCTGACGCCTGTGGCGAGCTGCCGTGCTCGTCACCGGCCAGCCCGGGGACGTGTTGGTCTTGCTTGTGCCGCCTTGGGCTGAGTGGGAAGCCCTCTTCAACTGTCAGCCACGTTAAACAGCTGCGCAGTTCTGTTTTTCAAACTTTGTGGCACATGAGATAACCAGAACAATGTCCCCCTCTTTCAGCCAGATCTCGCTTTCGAGCGGTGACGCAGGTTCTGGTGTTCTGACCCTCCGTGTCATTTGCCTCTTTCCCAGGGTGTGTTCGTTCTTTTCTCTCTTTCCGGTAGTGATCTCCTGTCCCAGGATCGCCCTCGCGTCTTCTTTCTCCTCCCCGTTTTAGTTTATCGTCCCGTTCGGGATTCGTGGGGTAACATTTTCTCCTGTCACCCCGCCTCCCCCCATGACTGTAAAGGGACTTTTCTCTCTCTTCCGCCGGAGGCTCTGGGAGTGCCAGTCCATCTCCCTGTCTCTCTTGAATCTCATCGATTTATTTTGCATCCGCATTGAAATATCTCTAACGCTCTTGCTCCCACACCCTAAACTTGCTGTCATGCCGGCTTATCTTACTGCCACCTTTTAACACCTCCTCTCCCTGCCCTGCCCCTCCTCACAGAGCCCGACCTAAAGAAGCGCATCCGCGTGCACCTGCTCAACGCGCACGGCCTGGACGAGGCAGGCATCGACGGCGGCGGCATCTTCAGGGAGTTTCTGAACGAACTGCTCAAGTCGGGCTTCAACCCCAACCAGGGCTTCTTCAAGACGACGAACGAAGGGCTGCTCTACCCCAACCCCGCGGCCCAGATGCTCGTGGGGGACTCCTTCGCCAGACATTACTACTTCCTGGGCACGATGCTTGGAAAGGTAACGGGGCTTCCTGCCACGGGGCTCTGGGGCCACAGGTGTTGGCACTTGTGTTTCTGCGTGGTTGCCGACGGTTTGTCGAAGGTCCTTAGTGTTGATAATGGCTAATTCTATCAGGATGTAGCTGCGAATACTCCAGTAAAATCAGTAATTGAAAGTTACACCTGAGCTGTTCCGAATGAGGCAGAAAATCATCTAAGTTATTCCCATGGGAGATAGAAAGTTAACGATTCTGGATTTTTCTTTGAAGGAATGAAGTTGTTGCACCGATCGTAACGGTGTGATAAGAGAGTGTGGTGTGTTTGGGGAGGGGCGTAAGGGTTCCCCACGTTCACAGCTCACTGCCAAGTACTCTCTGCAGTGACAGTGAAAGCGTTTACCCCGAATTCGCTGTCCGAATCGGAAGCCCGTGTAACATCTTGCAAGTCAAGGCGGAAGGGGGCGGAGCGCTTGGGTCAGGTCTCAGGGGTTCCCTGCCGGCTCTGCGTCCTCCTGGTCACCGATGCCCTTCAAGGCTCCCCGTGGGGCTTCTGCCAGGCGCCCGGGCCGGTCCAGAGGGTCTCTTCCCCGCTGGTCTCCAGTGACGGGGACGTCGCCTGCAGAGAAGGGGACAGCGGAGAGGGGACCTTGCGTCTGGTTTGTGAAGGGTCCTTGCGTAGTGCACACGGCGTGTCAGCCGATAAGATCGTTAAATAAAGTTCATGGTTTATGTTCTCCAAGAATCTTTGGTGTATTGTGACATAGATATGTAGACATATTTCATGGTATTTTGAGGAAATTCGTGTGGCTTTTGGATGGTCTGGGAACGTATTTTATTTCCCCTATCTAAAACAGTGGAATACGAATGCCTGGAGTCCAACGCTTGCTGCCCAGCACGCTTAGAGACAGGTGAGTAGTAACACAAGGGTTGTCAGCACAGCTCCTGCAAGTCAAAGGTGACAGGCCCTGTGGAGCGAGGGCAGCAGACTGCAGCCTCCGGCCAGGTCCCTCACCCGTTGTTGTTGTCATTGTTTAGGAAAAAGGTTTTGCTGGCATCCCACGAGGCCTGGTCGCACACAGATTGTCAGGGCAGAGTGGACAGCGCCTGCAGTGCGTGCTGTTGGGGCCTTGCCATGTCTCGAAGGCCTGAGACATCATGTGGGCTGTGGGAAGTCACTGTGCTCAGCGAGCGGCCTGGCGGGTGGGTGAGTGAGGACGGTCAGTGGTGAGCGGTGACTGTTGGGCTGCCCACTCAGGGAGCAGCCCCCAGTGCTCTGGCCACCAGACTTGGGCAGTGGCCACGTGGGGAGGAGGGCCGAAGAAGATGGTGTCTTGGGAGGGAAGACAGTGCATGAGGGTCAAGGGGCGAACGGCGCGCTAAAGGCTCTGTGAAGTCAGGAGTTTGGGCTGTGAGGGTCACACATGTGCCCACGCGGTGACGTTGAACCCAGCGGTACATGGAATGCTGGCTGTGCTTATGGCTCAGTGTCCAGGATTGTGCCCAATGAGCTGAGCATCTGTAACTGAACGGCAAAAGAGGGGACCTGGCTGCGATGACTGCTGTCCGCGAGGTTTGGTCAGATCTGCAGTGGTTTCCAGCTGGATGATGGAGTCCCTTATCTGTCACACTTGCTGTCCTGCTCTTGGTGGTGCACGTTAAACAGACCTGCCGTGCCCCGAGCAGCGCAGTACCTGAACCGGCCCACTGCAGAAGCCGCCTCATTAAAGCCTCTGCCTGCAAAGCGGTTATGTTCTTTGAGACTTTCTTTAAAGTAACAGCTTTTTCAACATATAATTCACGTTCCATAAAATTACGCCTTTTAACGTGTACAGTTCCCTGAGGTGGGCAGCCATCACTACTACTGAATTTCAGAACAGTGTTGTCACCCTGAAAAGAAAACCCCGTCTTCATGAACGGTCACCCCCCATCGGAGCACACCTTGCTTATCCACTCGTCCGCTGATGGACATTTGGGTGTTCCCACCTTCTGGCTCTTGTGACTAGTGCTGCTGTGAACAGTCGTGAGCAAGTTTTTGTGTGGACGTTTCTCTTGTTAAACTACACCTGTGTGTTCTAAGAGTTTCGTAGTTTTAACTCTTACATTTAGGTCTTGATCCATTCTGAGTTAATTTTTGTAGACAGCGTGAGTCAGGGCCCTCATTTGACTCTTCTGCACATGGCTGTCCAGTCGCCTGGCACCGTGAGCTGTCCTGTCACCTGTGTCGTGAATCACTCGATCGTGAATGAGGGTTTATCGCTGAGCGCTCACTGTTCCATTGACCTCCGTGTCTGCCCTCATGCCAGCGTGTCACAGGTTTCACTGCTGTAGCCTCAGTCCCGTTGGTGACAAGTGGCGATGCTCTCAGGCCTAGCGGAGCAGGGGGGTAAGTGGAAGGGGATCAGCACGCCCTGGGCGTAGCAGTCACGCCCTAGGTGTGTGTCTGTGAGACTTGGCGTCAGAGACTGGTGACTGATCTGCTCAGGTCCCTGATGCTGCCGCTGTCGCGAAGCTGTTCCATGTCCTTCGGCTTTAGCGATGGCTCATGCTGGCCCCCGCGCGTCACAGCGAGCTTCTTCAGGCTAACCTTACCGTTTCAGTGACAGATTTCAGGATTGACCCGACGTTAGATTCCTTAGCATAAATTTCAGACAGATCATTTTCCCACTGAAATTCATTGGAACGCATACCTCTCCCACCTGGAGCTGTGTGCTGGCTTTACTGTCACTTCTCAATGAGGTGGCATCTCTCCCTGTCCGTGGTCCCTTGTGGCTCAGCTTCGCCTCCCTCCGGAGAGTGGAAGTTTTGAGACTCATCACATGAAAATCTTAGAAATTTGATGTGCTATAGTTTTGTAATATGACAAGCCCAAGAACTTGCTAAATTAATAATAATGAAAATAAATTGAAAACTGTTAATGAAGGTGAGCTTTTATTTTGCTAGACTAACCTGAAATACTCCCTAAATTTAGTGATTCTCACATAGTGCAGTCACAGGCAACAGAGTGATTTTATTGGCATGAATTAAATCTTATTAAAAGTTTATATTGTTTTTCCTTCCCCAAATTGTCCCAATTTGTCCCAAATTGTGTAAATTGTCCCATCTCGGTGGGTACAGAGTCAGGCCAGTTGGACGACCCGGGTCACTAGGTGAGTGTGGTGACGCCCCACCCGCTCCCCTCCCTGGCTGATCGCGTGCCACCCGCCGCTATGTCCGGTGGCAGCTTGCTGCGGGGGTCTGCGGGCTCGGGGCGGTGCACCGCTCACCCCCCCTGCTGGGAGTTTATGTCCCTTCAGACCAGGCTCGGTGGGGGTGGAGACGGGGCATGGGGCATCGGAGCCTCTGCCCCAGCGGTGGAGTTTGTGTAAATTGTATCTTTAAAATAATGTCGTTTAGACGAAACCAATGAAAACCGCTGTTATTCGAGGATGGTAGTTAACTTAGTCCCACATATTCAGGACTCCCAGGGGAGTGCTAGTTCCTAAAACACCTGATTATCACTTGATTGTAAATGGTTAAACTTTGTACCCACATGGTAAAAATTGCCCAGGTCTAAGTGAGCGTAATTGTATAGCACTAATAGCGTGGTATCTGAACATTAAATCTTTAAGGGAAGAAATCGTGTATTGATTGATTATGATATTTATTGGGTCATAATGTATTTAAATTTTCTTTAATGCATATGTTAGTGATTGTTTACTGTGATAAAGCACAAAGAGGTCTTCAAGAGCAGTCCTGCATAGGAAGAATTACTTCACGTCACTGGTCACTTCTCAATTAAAAGTTCCATTAGCAGATGATTCCTGCCTCTGGTGTGGGTCGGGATTGCATTTCATCGCCTGTAAATCAGGCTTAAGACGAGGAATAAATAAACAGCTCAAGGATGTGGTAATGTCGTCTTGAACTTTTTTTCACAGTTAGAAGCACCTAGGCCCATTTAAGCCAATCAAGTTCAGAATATTTATTGAAGGAAATCTTTTACCGTATGTGAATTCTGTTTGAAAATGGCTCTTTTTTTCTTGCTTTGGAATATTGATTTAATTGGAACAGAATGCCTATAAATCATTATTTGATAGTATCTTCATCATATATTTCAAATTTTTAATTAGCAGATTGTGAAATGTCAGTGTAGTTTATAATTTTGTATTTTAGTACAGTGCAGTGTGCTCTTAATGTATCATAGAGTATAATATTGGCAGTTAACAGTTTATCCTGAGATTTTTGAGAGCTGGGGAAATTTGTTCTTCTGTATCATCATAGAGTCCTTTCGTGAAGTGCTCACTGAATTTGCTGAAGCTTTAAAACTAGCTCGAGGTGAATGCTAGTCATTTAAGTTACCTTGGTCCGTAAGTGGCAAAGCTTTTCTTTCACTGTTCCTTGTTTTGCACCCCAAGCTCATTAAGGGTCAGTGGGATTGAGCGTTTTCATCTGATTGTCATCACACTAAGTGCTGTGATCTCTAAAGTTAATATATCTTTTCCCTTAGAATTTTTTTAAACATGATATTCAGCAAATGGTTGGTCATTCTGGGCTTAGCTGGAGCCTTCCAGTCAGTGTTCAGACTTTCTTACTGTGATGTCAGCACGTTTCACAGGCACGCTTTCTCTGAATCTCCGAATCTCTGAATCTCAACTTAAGAGTTTGCCCTGATTGACCTTTAGCTTTTTTTGGAAGTGGAAGAATCAAAGATCATTATTTACAAATGGTTCCTTTATTTGACTCTTACCCTGTCTGAGAATTGTGCCTGCTTCTTATAGCATTCTTATGATCACGATTTATATTCTTTTCCATTAAAAGCAAAGTATTCACAGATCTGGAACTTATTCTTCTTGTCAGTTAAGGTTGTAGTTTTCCATATAAGTTCATTTTATTTCTTCAGAATTAAACATGAAATAAAAATGGTTTAGATGAGACAGTAAACATGACAGGTATAGTCCGAAACTCAGTGACCCCAGAACCACTCCGAGATAGTCACCAGAATCCGTTCTGCTCCCGCATAAAGTAGACCGTGTTTGGCCTTGAG